TTGAGTTTTCAAAGGCAAATCAACAAAGTGTTTCAATGAGTCATCAAGGTCATACCTTCTTCCAAGTACATACAATCTGATTGGGGTGTTTCCATCTCTGATCTGTAAGAAAAGCTTTCTTGCTAATAGGTTAAGAAATGACCCCATTTCTCTAATCTAATACACAACACTACTATGGAACATTCTAAACTCAAAACAATCTCTTAAAAAACCTTATAACTTCAAGGTACCTGTGAAAGGTCTGTGACTTGCTAAACAGAAAATCATGTAATCTAGGGAGAGGTAGAATTTAAAGAAAGCTTGTTTTTTCCTCCCCTTACTGTTTTGGCAACTTGAGGTCTACAAAGATAAGATACTGTTTCAATGCTAGTAAAATTATAACTTAGTCTTAATGAAAATAAGAATTTATTTCCTAACATAATGAAGTTGGTCCAAGTAGGTACTCACTTTTAATATACCCAAAAGTGGGGGAGCAGAGGCCACCATGGCTCCCAGAATGCAGCTAGGCAGGGCTCAGGAGACTCCACCTAGAGCTATATTCCAGTCCTGTAGCCCATGCTCGATATACTGCACCACCTCAATGGCCTGAGTGCCTCCTAGGGACTGATGGCTTAGATTGGAAACAAACAAACAAACAAACCAAAAACCCTAAGTCCTGGAACTCCTTGATATTCATCGAGAGCCTGAGCGTTGCCTTGGTTCCACTGTGGTAGACTTGTTTGCACATGAAAAGTTTAATGTCATTCTGCCAATCTGTGCACTGAAGAGGACCACAGTCATCCTCCAACAATAAGACTGCCTGCCTTAGAAGGAGATCATGAAACTTTAAAGACTATCAGCTGGGGGTTTGTAAGGCCTCATGGGTGGAAAACCATGAGGCTACTTGGCCACCCTGGCCTCTTTTGGCAGCACATTTCTGAGTCCTAGAGTCCAGTCTTGAAGCTGTTATTTTATCTGGGGAGGAGAAGGATATATGATGTCATGTCATAATTCACTCAGATGCTGAAGAGGAATTTAAGCATATTTTTTCCAGAGGCCTTATCCTGTGAATTTTCTATATTTGATTAAAGTGGTTTAAACAGTAGACTTGGCATTTATTGACAGCATTCTCCCAGATAGTGGCATTTCAGGTACAAGACAACTAGGATTGCTGGTGCTATTTAGAAGTCTTAAGCAATCCAAGTGTAAGTTTAATCTTCTGAAGCTGGAATTGGGTCTAAATAAAAATTGTTAAGCCACAGGCTAAGTGGTGACAATTCTCAATCTGTGGGGCTGCTGAGGCTCCCAAATTGTCTTCCAGAGAAATGAGAGAGAATTCATTATAACCTAATGGTGAGAAATCTCTTTCCTAACAGGCAAGACTAGGATAGATCTCCAAATTAAAGAATATTGATAAATAAATCTCAGCAAATCTCTTTCAGCACTAAGGGGGAAAAATGAAAATAAAATTTTTGTAATTATCATAAATTTTACATTTGTGGAAGCCCTGTTCAATACATTGCAATTTCCACACACTCACACACACACACAATCACAAGAATAACTGCCAAATAGGAATAAAAAATAATAGCTAATCTTTTTATTATGTTTATTATGTGCCAAGCACTATGCTTACTATGATACTATGATATATGCATTAAGTCTCATTTAATAATCAAAATAACTTTTTTTAAAGTAGGTATTTTCTTTACTCCATTTTACACATGTGGGAAGTAGTGTAGCATAAATATGTAATCACTATGTTAAAACTGCCTTCTCCCATCCAAAAGGGCGCCACTTATATAAGTAATTTATTCATTTGAGTCACAATCTTTAGCACAATCTCAGCATGTTTTTAAAAAAGAGAATGCCCATTAAAAAATATAGAAGCAGTAAAAACATATATATATATGTATATATATATATATGCAGTAGAAAAGATCTCTTCTAACAAAGGAGAATAAAAATCACGATTAAAATTATTTCAATCTTTACATAATAGCTTTAGATAATTAAATTTTACATAATGGCTTCCAAAGACTGGTCAAATTCCATGTTATTTATAATAAACAGCAAAAAGTATTTTAGCTACAAGAAAAAATAACAATATTGTATTATCAGGAAAAATGCTAAACTAGGGTATACACCACAGGCAAAAGAAACTATGTAGTTTTACCTATCCTACAAACAGATTTTCACAAAGCCAATTTGAGGCTAAAGCATTATAAAAATCTGTACAAAGTTAATTTAGCCAAATGTAGTCTGCCCTTATGATCTCAAAGCTATGCCCCTGCAAGTAAACATTAGCCAATTTCTCCTTAAATACTTAAGTGAAGTTTTGAAATTTCTTATAGCCCTGTAAAACATAAAACTATGTGTGAAGGGTCTAATTTGAACAATTTAGAAAGTATTATTCATATCATTCACATTGCAATTTTCTAACCGTGAAGATAATTTTATTTTTATTTATTTATTTATTTATTTATTTATTTATTTATTTATTTATTTATTTTTGAGCCAGAGTCTTGCTTTGTTGCCCAGGCTAGAGTGAGTGCCGTGGCGTCAGCCTGGCTCACAGCAACCTCAAACTCCTGAGCTCAAGCAATCATACTGCCTCAGTCTCCCGAGTAGCTGGGACTACAGGCATGCGCCACCATGCCCAGTTAATTTTTTCTATATATATATATTAGTTGGCCAATTAATTTCTTTCTATTTTTAGTAGAGATGGGGTCTCGCTCTTGCTCAGGCTGGTTTCGAACTCCTGACCTCGAGCAATCCACCCGCCTCAGGCTGGTTTCGAACTCCTGACCTCGAGCAATCCACCCGCCTCAGGCTGCCAGAGTGCTAGGATTACAGGCGTGAGCTACCGCACCTGGCCTCCTTGAAGATAATTTTTAAAATATCATTATTTTCTTCCTTAAATGAAGGCTTTAGTATTTACTTGATGATGACTAATAATTTTAGTGAAGTATTTATTAACAAGTCGATGGGCAAGAATCAAGCCTGAGTCTCCAAACTGTTTACAGGAGACCTAAGCAAGCTGCGAAGGTAATACAATAGGAAGAACCAGAGATTGATACTCCATCTAATGTATTAAAAAATCAATTATTGATAGAAGGTTGGGCACAGTGGTTCACACCTATAATCCTGGCACTTTGGGAAGCCAAGGCGGGGATCGCTTGAGCCCAGGAGTTCAAGACCAGCCTGAGCAACATAGTGAGACCCCATCTCTAAAAAAAATTTTCTTTTAATTAGCTAGGTGTTGTGGCATGCATGTGTAGTCTCAGCTACCTGGGAGGTTGAAGCATGAGGATTGCTTGAGGTCTGGAGTTTAAGGTTGCAGTGAGCTATGATAACACCATTGCACTCTAGCCCAGGCAACAGAGTGAGACCCTGTCTAAATAAATAAATAAATAAATTAGAAAACAAAAACGTGATTATAAAAATTAATTCAGAATGGATAAAAGACTTAAATGTAAGGCATGAAACCATAAAAACTCTAGAAGAAAACATAGGAAAAATTACTCTAGACATTGAACTAAGAATTTATGACTAAGACCCTAAAGGCAATTATAGCAATGGCAAAAAATAAATAAATGGGACTTAATTAAATTAAAAAGCTTCCACACAGCAAAGGAAAAACAGAGTGTATAGATAACTTAAAGAATGGGAGAAAATATTTGCAAATTTTACATCTGACAAAGGACTGATATTCAGAATCTATAAAGAACTCAAATAAATCAGCAAGAAAAAAAGGGGAAAAAGACATGAACAGAAGTTTTTTAAGAGGAGATGGAGAAATGGCCTACAAACATATGAAAAAATGCTCAACATCACTAATCATCAGGGAAATGCAAATTAAAACTAAAATGAGATACTACCTTACCCATATCAGAATGACCATTATTAAAAAGCCAAAGAACAATAGATGTTGATGTCAATGCAGAGAGATAGTAACACACACTGTTGTTGGGACTGCAAATTAGGACAACCACTATGAAAAAGAGTATGGAAACTCCTCAAAGAAATAAATGTAGAACCACTGGTCAATCCAGCAATCCCACTGCTAGTGTCTACCCAAAGGAAAAGTTGTCATTTTATCAAAACACACTTGATCCCGAATGTTTACTGCAGCACAATTCTTAATTGCAAAGATGCAGAACCAACCTAAGTGCCCATGAATTTATGAGTAGATAAAGAAAATGTGGTATACATACATCATGGAGTATTCCTCAGCCATAAAAGCGAACGAAATAATTTTGTTTGCAGCATTTTGGATGAACTGGAGACCATTATCTTAAGTGAAGTATATCAGGAATAGAAAACCAAACACTGTATGTTCTTGCCAAAAAGTGGGAGTTAGAAGATGGGTACACATAGGTACAAAGAGATCTAAAGGACGTTGGGACCAAAAACAAAGGAGAGTTGGGGGAGAGGATGTGTGCGATAAAAACTTACCTATTTGGTACAATGAACACTATTCTGGTGATGGACATGTCAAAAGCTCTGACTTAAGCATTATACAAGGTTATCTATGTAACAAAAAATTTTATCCCCTTAATATTCAAAATAAAAAAATATAGAAAGGGTAAAAAAGGAAGAAAACATGGTGTGAGCTACCCAACACTTGTATATCTGTTGGCTGGCTAATGGGCCACAAGTTTGTAACTCCCAAATGAAAACTTGGAACCAGAATCTGAAGCTGTTTTCCTAAACAGACTTGTTTCCTGTCACAAAGAGTCTATGTAATAGATTCTTTATAAAATTTGATTAATGAAAATTAGTTTACATGTAAGTGATACCACTCACCTGGAGATTTCTTTTTTTTTTTTCGTATTAACTAGTCAACACCTATCACCTGGAGATTTCTTGTCAGATTCCGTATGTACTGGGGGAAATTAACTATAACATATAAATAACTGGAATATTTTTAAATGTCTTTTTTTTTTTTGCTGATAAGATCACACATAATTGTTTTAGCTATGTAAAAATGAGATACCACTATTGAAGTGGTATTTTACCTGCTTAAGAAATCGGTCAGATGCATTGCTGTGCTTGGCTAACACACTTGGGAGAGCAGGATTAGCATATTCAAATTGAGGATTGTAGGTATAGTCAGATTTGAAGAATCTCAGTTTTTCTTTCTCCAAGTTGGTAGGCTTTATAGCAGTCAATATACAAAATTTTTTTCCAGAAAAGTCATCTTTTTCAAAGCTTCTAGACAGCTGAGGTTGCGGCTGTGGCTTTGGCTTTGGAAGTGTGGAGAAATGATGCCACTTGACCTTGCTTTTGGGTTTAGGTGGCAGTCCTAGGCTGCTCCCTGTAACAGAGATATCATGTGTAAACTTTACAGGACTTGACAATGAACTAGTGACAAAAACAGCAGGCTGCCTCTCCAAGCAGTACCAACTACTGCTGCTTGTCACAGGCACTGGGGTTTTCGTCCTGTGAGAATCTTTGCTATGAGAAGAGCTAGGAGATTTGCTGGGTTTTCTACATCTTTTGGAGTGGATGGAGGAAGACTCTTTTTGTGAATGATGCTTTTTCTCCTCCTTGCTCTGTAGTAGGACATTGTAACTACTGGTTCCAGTTGTGAAAATGTCCTTTAGTATTCCAGGGGGTAAATGGGAAATGTTTCTTTTGCTGTCAGCGATCAATGAATCTTCTGCATTTAGAATAGACTTCTTAGCAAGTTCTTGCTCAGGCCAGTGAAGCTTTTCTGTATTAATAAACAAGATCAAAACAAAAGAAATAAAAAAGATACCAGATGAAGCAAATTGTTTATTATATGAAAAATATTTTGAAGGTTCCTTAAACTTTATAATTTTGCAATACTCTTTAGAAAATACAATTTAAACATTAAAAGGATATATTACTAAACTTTGGTCACTCTAGATACTGTCACTTCTCTATGAGTATATATAAGTTACATTATCTGTAAAAATCCTCAGCTTCAAACAATTTAGGTGATCAAAATCTAATATAGATGTGAGATAATATACATAAATAGTTTGAATACTCTACTAGAGAATGTGGATTTCATTGAAATGATACATGCTTTTTTTTTTGAGACAAAGTCTGGCTCTGTTGCCCAGGCTAGAGTGCCATGGCATCAGCCTAGCTCACAGCAACCTCCAACTCCTAGGCTCAAGCAATCCTTCTGCCTCAGCCTCCCAAGTAGCTGGAACTACAGGCATGCACCACCATGCCTGGCTAATTTTTTCTCTATATATTTCGAGTTGTCCAGATAATTTCTTTTTATTTTTAGTAGACATGGGGTCTTGCTCTTGCTCAGGCTGGTCTCGAACTCCTGACCTTGAGCCATCCTCCCGCCTTAGCCTCCCAGAGTGCTAGGATTACAGGCATGAGCCACCATGCCTGGCCTGAAATGATACATTTTTAAATAGCATTAATATCAACGTAAAATCCAAGGCACTTCCAAAGCTGACATGATCATGAAATTTGAAACTATATATAAAGGTCCCCTACCCATCAGTAAAAGAACTACAAAGCCTTATTTACCTCAAAAACCATTTTTTAAAATTCAACAGATGAAATGTGTATGATCAAGCATGTTTTGGTAATGTTATTCAGTATTAATAATTAGTTGATTTTCTTAGTATTTTAAGCTATAGGTTAATATTAAAGAAAAACAAGGTTTGTTTTTTTTTTTTTACTGGCAAGTTAGAAAAACAAATTTTAATTACTATTATATAGATATCAATATATCAAATGGCAAGTAAAGCAGAGGACAGCTTTGTTTTTAGACCTCATGTGTGCTTTAAACAGGTAAGAAGCACTGAATATACTGTTGCTCAGGCATTGCTTTAAAACTGTGTTAATTTGCATTCTTTCATTCAACAAATATGCAGAATACTACTAATTAAGTACATGGCTCTGATCAACATCTGTATAAATACATTGTTCTTGCTTCTAATATGGCCCTGAAGACAATGAATTCCTATGAATATTTGAATAATACAAAGTAGTATATGATCAAATATGATAAACAAAAGATATAGACAATAATCTAGAGTTCAGAAAAAGAAGAGAGCAATGTGGAAAGAAATGGATGAAATCTGAGGTAGAGCTTTAAGAGTTTCAGACAATTCTAAACCAACAGTGTTTGAGTCTCAAATCCAGCTTATCTGAACAAGACTCCAGATCAAGTCCTGTCAATAAAATGTTCTTGAAATAAATAAATGACTAAATAAATGACCCTAAACATACCATTCTCCATCTATCTAGATAAAAAGGTATTTGTAGTTCTGGAACCATTCTTTAGTTCTAAGAGATTCCTAAAGAAGTGTAAATATAACAGGAAAGACCCTGAACCAGTGGTTTTTCAACCAAGGGTGATTTTACCCTCCAGGGGACATTTGACAATATCTGGAGATATTTTGATTGTCATAACTGAAGAAGGGCTATTGGTATCTAGTGGGTAAAGGGTAAGGATGATGCTAAATATCCTTCAATGCATAGGACAGTCTCCTACAACAAATATTCATCCCAAAATGTCAATACTGTCAAGGCAGAAAAATCCTGTTCTAAATGTTAGTTTTCAAAATCCCAGAAGTCATAGGGTTTAGGATAAAGAAACAGTACTAGATCGAAAGTACACAATAAATAATCCATATTTGTAAGGTACTCAAAAGTCCTTTAACTTACATTTTCTAGGCCAGCATATGAAATCTGAATTCTGGTATCTAGAAGATAACACAAAAGTATAAACTTGCAGATGCTAAATGTCTACTGCATGTAGTAGTTTAGATTTGCACAGGATCATGTTAAAGGTAGATTGTATGAAGAAGCCATTTTTTGTACATTAATAAATGTTAAAGACTCAACAAGCCAAAAAGAACAAAGAAAACTTTCATCACAGGCTGGTAGGTCACAGTTTCTCAGAGGTTTCAGACTTAAGTTTTGCCAACTGATAATCAAAACTGGCACACAAGGCAAATAGGCTAAGGAACACCAGGCTGTAGTCCAAATGCACAAGCACAATGTCAGTTTCCCTAAAAGGATATCACACAAATTTAAGAGACAAGGTAATAATGAAAGGAAGGATGAAATGACACTAAAAGGGAAAGAGATAAGAATAAAGGTATCATGAGCCTAGAGAAGTAGGGTGAGTACTAGGCATAGACAGAAAGGTAAAAAGAGGTAATCAAGTTCTTTTCTCATCCGATCTTTACAATAAAAATGGAAAGAGTTACATCACATTAAAATCAATAAATCTCCAGCTACGTGGGAGTTTAAGGCAGGAGGATCCTTGAGCCCAGGAGTTTGAAGGTACAGTGAGCTATGAAGAGGCCACTGCACTCTAGCCTGGGCAAGAGTAAGACCCTGTCTCAAAAAAAAAAAAAAAAAAAGAAAAGAAAAGAAAATCAATGAATTAAACTACTCTGAAGAATTCCTATTTGGATGGTTCATTATATATATGCTGTGCTGATTTTTTTTAAAAACAAATATTCAATGTAAAAATGCTCTTTGGTTCCGAAGATTCAGTAGCTTTCTGACCAAAGAATTGAGCTCATAGAGTTCTTCTGTTTTGTCACAAAGTATCAGTGACCTACAAAATCATAATTTTGGCCCATCTCAACCTATACATTCAAGATACTAAAAAAAAAAAAAAAAAAGTCCTAAACCACCTGCCAAAACACTCAAGGAGGAATGGAGAGTGCCAGAGAGGTAACAGTGTGTGTTTGACAGAACCCTTCTCCCCCCAGGAATTACAGCATTTCACTTCACTTGCTAATTATCTCCTGAGAGGCTGAGCATCAGTTCTTTTGAAGCACCATCTGCTACAGAGTAAAGTTTGGGAAAGGCAATGGTGTATTTATCTTACAAATGCCAATACTGCCAAATGCTGACATCCCATTAAGTTCATAAAAGTGGGGCACATGGTCCTTCACACAACTCATACAAGATGGATATATTAATATTTTCTCAGAGTCACACAAATAATCATATTTCAGTTGCATTAAAAAGTATTACAGAACCTAAAATATTGTTTTTGTAATTTTTTTTTTTTTGAGACAGAGTCTCACTTTGTTGTCCAGGCTAGAGTGAGTGCCCTGGCATCAGCCTATCTCACAGCAACCTCAAACTCCTGGGCTCAAGCGATCCTACTGCCTCAGCCTCCTGAGTAGCTGGGACTACCGGCATGAGCCACTATGCCCGACTAATTTTTTCTATATATATCAGTTGGCCAATTAATTTCTTTCTATTTATGGTAGAGACAGGGGTCTCACCCTTGGTCAGGCTGGTTTCGAACTCCTGACCTCGAGCAATCCGCCCGCCTCGGCCTCCCAGACTGCTAGGATTACAGGCGTGAGGCATCGCGCCTGGCCCGTTTTTGTAATTTTAAATACTATTGTTTACTTTGTGAAAAAAAATTTTGAACATGCATAAGCACATAATAAGAGGCTAAGATTTCCAGTTATCTACACAATTTATTAAAGAACATCCTATTTCCTGACTCCCTTTTCCTGAAAAATTAAAACTTTTTTTAAACATAAATAGACTTCTTTGGAAGAAGTACAACTCATGTTTCCCTCCCCAAAAGTAGTAAGGTATTTAGAAATCATGCTTACTCACATTAAACATAATCACTATATATGTAACGTAATACTTTAGCCATCAGCAATCTGTTTCACTATTAAAAATGGAATCAAAGAAAATAATTTGTTGATCAAAGAAAGTCATTTACTTACCCCAACCTAATTACCCATAATGAAGAAAAACGGTAAGTACTATTATTACATTAAAATTGATACTCAGTATATTCAAAAGTAGGTGAAGATACTGAAATTACCAACACAGCAAAAGTTTAAAATGTATCTAGAACAACAGAAAAGGATACCAGAATTCCTGGCTTCCATTCCCAGCTCTTTCAATAACCTCTCTGTAATATTAGCCTAATCACTGACCCATCGGTAGCTCCCATTCCTCATCTAAAAGAATGGGGGAGAAGGGAGACACTGCTCCTTAAACTTAGTGTTTCACAACTGTGAATAGGTGAGGTTTCACAGTAATTACAAGGTCCCTGGCTGAATGGAAGATCGCCAGAAACAAAGCCTTGTGGAAAAATACTATTCAACCAATTTTAACCTATAAAATGGTAATTTCATATGGTTTGCTAACACTTACAAAACCTGAGAACATAGGATAATTTTACACCACAAAGTAGGTTACTTGATTACAAACAGAAGAAAGAGCAAAACAAAATAGTCCCCAAATAACATAAATGCTTTAATTTTATCAAGTATTTCATCACTTAAAACTCAAATAAGCAGGGAAAAAATCATAAAATATCTGTCAATAGTAGAAAGGATGAATAAATTGTAATACATTCATACTACAAAATACTACACTGCAATGAACAAAAACAAACAGGTTGCAAGCAATAATATGGATGAATCTCAGACAATGTTGAGCAAATGAAGTCAGATCAAAAGAATATATACTGCATAATTCCATCTATATGTAGTTCAGAAACAGCAAAACTAATTTATGGTATAATAGTAGTCAGAGAAGTGGTTACCTTTGAGGTAGGGGTCATAACCTGGGAGGAGGTAACAAGGAGCCTATTAGGTGCTAGAAATGTTCCATATCTTGTTCTGGGCAATGGTTATGTATGCACAAAGTCATGGGCTGCATGTTTAAGACTTGTGTACTTTATGTACATTAAATCTTAACTTTGTAAATGATATGTAAAATATCAGTTCCTTTAAAACCACATTTATTGCCCAATTTGTCTGCATAACAGATAATCTATTAATTATAATATCTCAAAATTCAACAGCAACCAACGTAGTTTAGCAACTGGAGGAATAAGAGATGAAAGGCACTGCTAATGTCATTCAGGAACTCATAAACTTGACTGTACTCCAGGATTCTTAAAAAATTTCAGTCCCAGTTAAGGAGCACTTCAGTGTAACTAACTGTATTAGTAACAATCTTACAATGTGATAGTTGTTTGAGAGTCAGAAACTGGTGTGTGTGTGTTTTGTTCTTAGAGTTAGAAATATGCATGGTATTCTAGATACCCTTGATGATGATGGTTGTGGTAAGAGTGAGCATTATACACCACCTAAAATGACAGTGAACGTGCCAGAAACAAACCTTTCCATGGCTTTCCACCTGGGATGAAGACAAAGCTCCTAACCATGGTCTATGATGTCACTCATGGTCAGATCCCTATGCCTGTGCAGCCTCATCTTACACAGTGTTCCCCTTTAATCTTTCCACTAGTCTCTTCTCACTTTGTCAATCCCTCACACCATTCTCTCTCCAGACATACCACCTCTTCACACACTGCTCCCTATGTCTGCAGAGCTCTTCTATTCCCTCTGTTAGATTAATACCTACTCATCCTTTATTTCAAATGGCACTTGGTCAGGAAGCCTTCTTTGATCTCTTCATTTTAGAATCTCATAGTACCCTATACCTTTTCTTCAAAGTACTTGTCATAGTTGCAGTTTTCCATTTGTTGTACGATAGCCACGTGTTTGTTTTTGCTCACTCATTGTTCTGCTCATGAAAGGGTGGCCAGAAAGGTAGCCAAAGGAAGAGAATATTTGAGAGGAGAGAAAGGGTAAAGGATTTGGTTGCCTGAAGGTTGAGGAAAAAAATCATCCCAGGAAGGCAAAAGAAAAAGAAACAATTAGTGAAGTTGAAGACAAGTTTTAATGGCAAGTGCCTACTGCTATAGGACAAATAGGAGGTGAGTGCCTAGGTGCAGACATCCTATACAGCTAACACTGGCCTTAAGAAGACTTTTGTCTCCAGTATTTTTAAACATTTATCTTTATTATATAGGCACTTCATTTCCAGATGACTCATCATTAATCACTTCTTATATCACATGCAATATAAAGCTAGTAGGAAATCATAAATGAAAATAATTTTGTATGATATAGCTTCTGACAGCATTTTGTTACTCAGTGAACCAGCTAGATGTCTTCTTTTCTATTTTGAAAACAAATTTTTATTCTAGTAAAGACAATTGTCCCAGGCAAAAATTATTTACACATTTGCTTGTGATAAAAACTTAAAATCAACACTTTCAGCAATCTATCAGATAATGGAACACTGATACTAAATGAGACTGATTTGGGGTTTTGTAGCTCAAATCAGGGTAAGTCATTGTAACAGTGTGCTGATTTTCCTAGTGGTTGAGAACATGGACTTTGGAATGGAGCTTGTTTGGTTTGAATCTTGGCTGTAGTAGTTATGACCCTGACCAAGTTACATAGCTTCATTGTGCTGTAGTTTCCTCATCTGTAAAATGGGATAATATTACTGCATACCTCATAGTATTGGTGTAAAGATTTTAAAAGTTAATATAAGTGCTGAGAACAGTGCTGCCTTTGGTTGACTATCACTATTATATTAATATTACATTTAGCTCCTATAGAAACAAGTCATGAAAAAATGTAAATGGGGAAATGTTTTGTATCATTAAATTTGGATTTCCAAAGTAAATTTAATATTAATATAAAGTAATCTACATTTTAGAATCAACATTTGTAATGGCTTTAGTATAATAAACTCTTCTGTAAAAGGCTATGTGAGAAAACAAAGAAATCTTTTCTGATCTGATTCCATTTTAAACAGCATATGTAGCACATACATGTCTTATTTCATTTTACTACTCCAATCAGCAGTTTAACCAGGATGTCATATTTAGATTATATTAAATTATGACTAATAAGTCAAAAGCATTATATAGGAAGTGATTTAAGAAACACATAATTGCTTCAGTCCTTAAATCCAGTTTGTTTATATTTCACACAGAATCAAATGCCGGGAAGATGGCCTTGGAAATTATTCTAATATTAGGTAAGATATTTTAAAATGGCTAATATACATAGTGATTTACAAATAATAAAAGGCAAATAAAAACAAAAAGAAAAAAAAGGCAAGTAAACTTTCAGATCTGGAGTCTAAACATTCATGTTTGGTATAAGCCATACTATAAAGTGACCTGTCAATAGTACCAACTCAAAACGTTCTCACTGTAGAAGAATAAAAGCATACACACAAATATACACATCAGAAATACTGAAATACGGAGATGTGTTCTCTTGCTTAGCTGATTTTTTCTGAACATTCTAGAAAATTATAATGCCTAATTACACACCGAATATGCTCTGAAATAGGATTTAAGATTGCACACTTGTAGGACCAGTAATCGGTCTGTTACAGTTTTCTTCACTAGATCTCACAGCATGTGCTTATTAATATAAGTGACCAAAGGAAAGGGACCGTTTAGTCTCGTCCCTCCGCACGTTTTTCCGAGAGCCTCCTGCGCGCCCCGCACGGCTCTGGGCGTGCGGCTGTAGGGACCCGGCCCGCCCCACACCCGCCGCCGCAGCCCCGCCAGCCTCGGGCCAACCCTTCCCCGCACTCACCCGTCACGCGAATGGACTCCAGCATCGTCCCGCCGAGGCCGGGCGGCGGGGTCCGCGGGCGCAGGAGGCGAGGGCCGGGCGGGAGCCCGGACGGCCACCTCTAGCCTCCGGCCAGGGCCTCGGCGGCGGGGTCGCGGCGGGAGGCTGCTCTCTGCCACCAGGAGCGCGATAGGCGGGTAAAGGCGAACCAAGACTTGAGGACACAGAGCTATGAGGAGCGCTTCCACCAGCCTGCAGCTGCTGGAGGGTACACCCCGCGGCCCTTACGGTGACCAGCAGCGCTTAGAAGCTGCCACCGTGACGTAGCCGCTCCCCCCCACCCGGTTGCTAGGAAACGCTCCCCGCCGTCCGAGCGCGCCGCGCATCACTGAGCCTGCGTGCCGCTTGGGGCGCTCGGGCTACGAAAGCTCGGCTCTCAGGGAGAGAGAGGAGGAGGAGGAACTACAACTCCCGGCGTGCACAGCGCGGGCGCGCGCGCGTCTCGGGGCTTGTGGGCTGTGCCCGGTGACCCGCTGGGATCTCCGGACAACTGGACACTCGCTTTTTGACCCAGTGACGTTTGTGTGCCATTCGAGGAGCCTTAACTACGTGGTAGCATCACAAGAGGATAGGGGTAGTGTGACATTTAGCCCTAGCTGCAAATTACAGAGCCATTCTCTTCTGCCCTTTAACTTAAATTACAAGGTGCGGGAAAGCTAAAACAACTTTAGGTTAAGCCAGAATGCAGGTGCAGAAGGCTCAAATACATTTACCAGTGTACAGTACCCCAGCATACTAAATACTAAAATACAATTTTTTTTTCTGGTGCCATACCCTTGGATTTCCCAGCTTCCAAAACTTAAAATGCAAATGTTTAACTTATGATTGTGCAATTGATAGGGACTGAATGTAATTTTTCAGTTTATTGCTTTTCACTTTAGCAAATGTGAAAATTTAATCTTTGAAAATTACCATGGGAAATGTAGAGATCATATCATTCAACAAACATTTTTTTGAGAGTTAAACGTGTGCAAGGTTCTGAGCCAAGCTTTGAGGATATCAAGGGAAATGAAATAAGCCTCCCAGAGCTTACAGTCTCCTGAAATAGTTCTGGCAACTGTCAATCTTCAGACAGCCACATTTTCTCTACACCCTTCCTCAAGGTTGGGCAAGGACACAGAAACAACTGGGGTGTGTTTCAAACCGGGGAACAAAAATAAAGTTGAATGTCAGCAGCATCATACTCTTGAGAATGACAGAGAATTTGTGAGAAACTGTCCTTTTTCATTGCTTAGGAGAGACAAATGGAAATTTAACTATCACAAATAGTGGATAACCTCACTTCCTATTCTGTCAGAAAATCCTGTGAATACTATCTTCAAAATACAACCAGAATCTAGTCACTTGCTACCACTCTGGTTCAAGTCACCACCATCTCTTGCCTGGATTATAACTAGAGCCTCCTAGATGATGTCCCTATTCCCACCCTACCCTGTTTCACTCAACTGTCAAAACTCCATGGCCAGAATGATCCTTTAAAGTCAGATCATGTCATTCCTCAGCTTAAAACCCCTCAAGGGCTTCTTTACTTGTGAAGTCCTCTATGACCCAGCCTTCAGTCATCTCTTTGATCTCATCTTTCACTAATCCCCCCTCCAACCTCACACCCATATACACTGGCCTCCTTGATATTCCTCAACTATGTCAGGCAGTCTTTACCTCAAGGCATTTGCAACATGGGATTCTTCCTGCCTGGAATGCTCTTCCCCCAGATACCCACAGGACTAGCTCCCTCACTTCCTTCAGGACTTAACCCAAATGCCATCTCTTTATGAGGCTTCTCCTGGCCACTCCATTTAAAATTCAACTTTTTTCTCATATTTCCTATCCCCCTTCTCTGCTTTATTTTTTTCTTAGCAGTCAACATTATATAATTTATTATATATTTTACTGATTTATCTTGATTATTGTTTGTCTCCCTCTAGAATAAAATTTTTACAAGTGTAGTGATTTTTGTTTGCTCACTGCTATGTGCCCAGCATCAGGAACAGTGCCTGGCACATAGTAGGCACTCAATAAATATTTGTGAATTAATGGATACGTAGATAATAAATAATGCAAATTAAATAGAATTATATCGAATGGACCTGTAGATGAAAAAAAATCTACTTTGGATTAAAACACTTGCTATAATAATGAGCAATAAATCCTTTGCTTTTTTTTTTTTTTTTGAGACAGAGTCTTGCTCTATTGCCCCAGCCAGAGTGCAGTGGTGTCATCATAACCCATTACAACCTAAATTCCTGGGCTCAAGTGATCCTCCTCCCTCAGACTCCCAATTAGCTGGGACTGCAGGTGCTCACCATGACATCAGGCTAATTTTTCTATTTTTAGTAGAGACAAGCTCTCACTCTTACTCAGGCTGGTCTTGAACTCCTAAGCTCAAGCAATCCTCCTGCCTTAGCCTCCCATAGTATTATGGATTACAGGTGTGAGCCACCACCCTCTGCCTTCCTTTGCATTGATTTTTCTTTTTAAATTAATAATTTTTTACTTTTTAATTCTTTTAACTTTTTATATTTATTTATTTAGATAGAATCTCACTCTGTTGCCTGGGCTAGAGTGCTGTGGGGTCAGCCTAGTTCACAGCAACCTCAAACTCCTGGGCTTAAGAGATCCTCCTGCCTCAGCCTCCTGAGTAGCTAGGACTACAGGCATGTGCCACTATGCCCAGCTAATTTTTTATATGTACATATATTTTTAGTTGTCCAGCTAATTTCTATTTTTTGTAGAGACGAGGTCCTGCTCTTGCTCAGGCTGGTCTCGAGCTCCTGAGCTCAAATGATCCACCTGCCTTGGCCTCCCAGAGTGCTAGGATTACAGGCATGAGCCACTGCTCTGGCCTTCCTTTGCATTTTTTTTTTTTTTTTTTTTTTGTCCATGCTAGTGAGTTTGAGGTTTGCATTTTTAAGAGTAGTTATTCTTGCAACGTATTTTCTAAAGAAAAAGGCTGTAAATGAATCATGCTGTTAGATTCCTTATATACCTAAAATTCTGAAACCTCTTTTCCCAAAATTCACTATAAATGCATCTATTACCCCTGCAAATTTCTAGTTTTTAAAAGTCACTGCAGTTTAAGAACTATTTCTGAAAAAAAAGGAAAGTCTCCTGAAAGATGTTACCATGTCATATATTCAACGTCTGAATATGTGAGTTTACTTTGAATGGCTTTACTAAAGCATGCTTAATCATATTGTTCATTTTCATTATATTTTGAAGTAACTAAAATGTGTATTATTTTTCTCATTCAATGGGTATTTATTTATATACAAGACATTAGGTTTGGTGTTTTCAGAGTACTTTACAAAATATGATACCTATGTTCAAAGAACTTATTGACTAGTGGGAAAGTTTTATATGTATGTGCATGTATAGTAGATGCATTATATTGGATATGAGGGCTGTCCAGAAAGTATCCAGCCATTAGATCAAAAACATATTACATGGCTGGATACTTTCTGGAGAGCCTTTGTATATATACATACATATATGTGTATATAGTACACATATATATGCACATGCATATAAAAGTTAGAAAATGATATACATTAAAAGTATTGAACATTTCATTAAACTCTTCCACATTTCATTGAATTTAAGAATTCAAAAAATAAACAAATTTAATGTCCCTGTAGTTAGCCTACCTAGAACATAATTTCATTCTTTACTTTTATGATTATTTTTATGTTCACCTTAGCAATATTTTCTTGTGGGTGACTTTGATTTCTAAATATCTGTAGTGATAAGTACTATATAAAGGTACATATCAATGTAATCAAAACATTAAAAAACATATATATTCTTTATGTACTATTGAAGCACTCTTGCTAACAAATTGATGAATACAAAGTTTATCTCATTTCTTATAAAACCATTACTGTTACCAGCTCCTTTTACTCTTCCCATCTATGCAATTATTCATCCTCATCAAGCTTTGTGCATCTGCTTTGTTAATTATTGATCCGTGCTATGCCTGCTTAGTATTTCCATTGGGTACAGCATCTGCAGCTGTCCAGTTGGCTGCTGTAGAGTTGGCATTGTTTTTACATATCTGCCAGAACAATGAACAATTCTATCTTTCTGAGAAATTTTTCTTTATACCTGATTCTACATAAACCACTAATATTAAACCAAATTATTATCAGTTACTATTCTATTTTCAAAACACTGATTTTCAAGTTAAGCATTTATTAAAACTGCTTTAAATTATTTATGTTTATGTTTAAGGATGCCCTTTACCCTTTTTAAAGTCTTAATAAACTTAAAGTTTTCAATAATAACCAAGAATGCCATTGTTCTTATCCCACTGAAATATAGCCACCTTCCTTTTATGGTTATTTTTATGTACGCTAGGAGCATTGTACTGTGGAATCGTTTTGATTTTGGAATATTTAATGATGATTTTTACTTAATTTTAGATTAAACAATCATAGAAAAAAATAGGTGTTTTGATTAAAATACCGTTCTTTTATGTGTGATGGGATTTCTCTGTTACGTGTATAGAGGTTTTTTGTCAGTAATTTTTGTTTAATCAACCAGTCATGTTAATGTGTCTATTCTTTTTATATGCTACATAGCAGGACAGATGATATGTATTGTTGAAAAACAATTTACTATTCATAAATTAGTTGATGGAGTTTTGGTATAAAAAAGTAGATTAAACCATCTCTGTAAAAAGAGAAGATAATTTTCTTTTTAGAAAAAAGACCACATCCTCCTTTTCAAAGACTCAAAAGAGGTTTGATAATTTACCTTGGTTGTGGGTAGAGGCTAGTAAAGGCCAACAAGAGGAAAGAGAGAGGTAGTGAAGTCTGGACAAGTCTGCTAAAAAGTATTGCTACTGGAGAGAAAAATAAGTAAAATGTTTCATTTTCTATAGAAGAAGTTCATTTTGTTGACAGCAGAAGTACATATAATGCTTCAAACTGAGAAAAAGTTTAATTTCTTAAGAAGTTATCTTAGTAACTCAACATGAATTAGAACATTATATTTATTTTCTAAGTTTCAGATAAGAGTTTAAAAGAATATGGGAAAGCTTCTAGAAAACACTTTTAACTTTCCTTCCTGTTCTATTGAGAACAACTTATAACATTCTATGCTGTTGAAAATACACGAATTAAAGAAAATTGATTTGCAGCTTGCCATTATAAAGGAATATAGCAACTCTAGTTGCAATATCCCAGATTCTGATAAGCTTGAACAGATGAGTCAGGGTAAGCTATAAACAATGTTTCTTGACTCAAAAGAGAAAAAAAAACATCTAGGGAATAGTTGGTAGAATTGGTTTTTCTTGGCTTTTTTTAAAAAAAATGTTTCAGTGAAGTTGAATGCTTTCAGAATGTCTGTATCAAAAGAATGAAATGTTTGCAGCATGTCTATATTCAGGAGAATGAAAAGCATTACATAGAAGCCAAATAAAAGAATGCTTTGTGAGACCACTATGCATGCCTTCTTAACTCAATGAAAATAGTCAAAATGGCAAA